ATTCAAGGGGTCCTCGCGAGGTCCCTTGGGTTTAAGGAGCCGTGATTGACGGAGTGTTCTAGAGCGAGTGCCGACAGGAAAATTTGGAGTCGATGTTGGTGCACAGGTTGTCCGTGGTCCATTGGGTGGACATCGCCGGCCTTAAGTACCCGACGGGGCCCCAACGGCCTTCCACCGTTACCGTTGCCATGGAAATGCGTAGGCGTGGTTCTTCGGCTGCAAGGTGCTTCACGAAGCAGGGTTTTTCATGCGCGTGTCGCTGGCCGTGGTGTCCAACGATCGAATTTTTTAATTTTTCTACGAGCGATGTTGAAGCATTGTCGGTCAATTGCAGTCATTTTCCTAGTGTGTTTTGTCAGCTATTGTCGGACGCATTGATGGAAGCTTTGTTTGGTACACACTTTGCATGCTGTGATTCATGGCAGACGTCCTACGGCGGTTCCCGCTCCTGCTGCTGGCCACTCTTCTCCTGCTCCTTGTCGTGTTCTTCCACGTGTGTGTCGTTGTGTGGGGTCCTTGCAGCAAACAAAAACACTGACGCAGTGAATGGTGAAAAAGACGACCATGGACAGGCGGGAAACCTCCAGCAGACAGTCGACGCTCGCCATTGTCTACTCCACTCCGCAACTTTTCCTTGCAGTAGCCCTCCGCCGTGTCGTCAACCTGTCGGAGATCCTTCCATATCCCTCCTGTCGTTCTCCTCATCCACCGTTTCGGCGTCGCCTACAGGATCACACCCGATGCTATGGCGCAAGAGAATTGCACAATGGATTCTGATAACGACACACAATCGGGTGCATCCATCACTTGTTGCATCATCTGCCTTTGCCTACGAACGAATAATCTCATCCTCATGCAAGTTGTCGTTCTCTCAATGCGATAACGCATGGCGACGACTGACACTGCTGCGACCACCGTGTTTCTCTCCAATGCTGTTAATGCCTTCGCACCACCCGGGAGCTCTCGTTTCATCGTCAGGACTTCCAATGCGCAAGCACCCACCACTCTTTCGCCCGTCGGCGCCCTCACTAACCTTCTGCACATCGATGAGGACCGCACTCGCACTCTCTACGTTTCACAGAAGGGTTACGTTCGCGCTAAGCTTTGATGGCCCGAAGAGCATGCGGAACACGAAGGCGACGTCGCAGTAGAGAACCGTTACGCATGCACACTACATCGCCCAACATTCCAATGCCCTCCTTAGGCCATAGCCGCCATCACTTCCCTGCACAGACGTTTCACCCGAGTCTCCTGTCCAGCCGCCAGGACGCCTCACACACGGATGTGTCACAATGGAGGGTTCAAAATTTGAAATTGGAATGGGGATGTTGGCGCCCTTTTTTTTCGTCAGCCCGGTAGGCCTCCCTGCCGCCGCCACTGGACCACACCCGAGGACGCACGGACATCCCACTGGCAGCACGATGATGGACATCCACCCACGTGGCTGCGTGTATGCGTATGAAATTGGCCGCTGGAGACCTCCAAGGGTTTGCCTTGGGAACCATTGAATTAGGACGCGGTGTAACTATGACGCCGAAAACCGGAAAATTTTCCAAGGACTTTATCCTAATTCCTGAGGATTTTCCAGCGAGGGTCTAACGAGGCCCAAAGTCTCGAATCCCAAAGTCTCAAATCCTTAATAAATTTGTGTAACATTTGCCGTTGCATTTGGGCGGGCACCGCTGGAGATTCGAAGAGCGGTAGGTGGACGCAGAGGGCTTTTCTTACTACGATAGCATTGTTGACTTCTGCCGCAGCGGGGGCCAAGTCCCACATGACAAGATCCTTCATTTCCGGGCGTCTATGGGCATAATCTATGGTCAGAAATCCAGAATTGTAGCAAGTGGGACTTGGCCCGGAGGGGCTTTGCTACCAGTGCATTCAAAATAAATATATAAATACATGAAAGTTTTGTTTTTTGTTTTGAGACGAAAACGAGGCCCCGAGCCTCTAGCAAAGAGGTTTGGGACCGTCCGGGGCCAATTCCCACTTACGCTGATTCTTCATTTCTGACCTTTGATCTTTTTGTAATCTACGGTGAGAAATTGAGATTTCGAGTAAATAGGACTTGGCCCCCGGGTCAAAAGGAAATTGGGAGAGAATATTTGAAGCCATGAGAATGTTTGATATTTCATATGCTAAACCGGCTGATGCTGAGGGCCTAGTTGCACTACTCGCCATCCGTCACATTTCGTGGCGGATGCGTGGAGAGTGAGGGCCTCGTTCCACTACTCGCCATCCTCCACGCATGG